GGAAGTCTCCATCGCGCAGTAGAGCTCGAGTCACAGCCGCAAGTGTCTGGCCATCCCTTTCTGACACTCCGATTTCTTGGGGCGTGTTGGTCGCGGCGAATTCCAGCTTGTTCGCAGACTCCCTACAGTAGTTGCGCATTTTGTCCCCAGTGTTCTCTCCCCCTTTGTCACAGCGAAGAACCTCGATGCGGTAGCCTTCAGATGCTACTTGCATGTTGTAGGCGTGCAGAGCTTGCGTGGTTTCGGTCCTGTCGCGCAGTAGGTACACTTCCCGCATTCTGGTAAAGACGTCGGTTGCTTTGGCGACATAGGAGTAGGTGCGTCCGTTGTACTTCGCAGGCGGGTCGATTGGTCCCATGTTGTCGAACTGGACGAGTTGGCCTGGTTTGGTCAGGACACGGCTGGTCTTCTTCGGGACGGGAGCCTTCTTGTGCTTCGTGATTTGGCAGTTGTCGCACGGGGATACAGGTCCGTCATATTTCACACCTGTGGCGGGGTTGCGCCGCAAAATCTCCATAGCACGTGGATTGATGTGGCCGAGGCGCCGGTGCCAGAGGTCGGCGCTCACGCTCATCGCCACTGAGCATGTCGCGTGCGGTGTGTGATCGATCTGTACCGCTTCTTGTTTTCGGAACTTCGGCTTGCGCCCTGGTTCTTGGTTGTTCGGGGGTGTCTTGCTTGTCGACGCTGGATCGCCCTTGAATGTGATGGCGAGGGTGCACATGCCTTGGTCTTGAGTCTCTTGTTTCAGAGGAACGACGACTTCTCCGCCGATGGTGAGGTGTGGGGTCTTGTCTTCCAGGACACATCGGAGGCCCTTCTTGAGAAGGGCCGTTGGTGCGAAGATGTTCCGGCCTAGTCCTGGCACGATGAGACCTTGTAGTTTGACGGGTAGTTGCTGTTCTTTGTCGTCTTTGATGGTGCAGTGTAGGATCCCATTGGTAGTGCCTCGTAGTTGGCTTTCTCCTGCAACGTCGATGATCTTGGGCGTCGGGCGTTCTTCTTCGAGACGTCCATTCGGGATGAGGCGGTCGTCGAACATTGTCTCAGAAGCTCCAGAATCCACCAGCGCGGAAGTCCCAGTTGCAGTTGTCGTGAAAGTGCGTCCGCTTCCCTTGCTGCATGTAGCATGGTACATGAATCCACCCTTGAATGCATCTTCGTCGTAAGAGAAGTCGATCTCTGCCTTCTCGGTCTTCTCTGTTTCTGTAGGAGTTTCCGTTGTGGTAGGCTTGGCGTGTGTATCTCTTGACTGGGTTGAGCAGTGCACGCAGTGTGTGCATGCAGAAAAGGCCTTGCCCGTGCGTTCTGGTCGCTTGGCTCCTTGGTTGTAACACTCTTCGTCGGAGTGTGTAGTGGTGTTATGGACGGAGCACCACTTGGTTGCTCCCGCAGGCTTCGTCTTCTTTGCCCTATGGCCCTCCCGCTGGCGATTGGGACAGTTCCTCCTGACATGTCCCGGTTCGTTGCACTCGAAGCAGATGGGGCCAGATGTCTTGGTAGCCATGGCGAATCCGCGGCCAGCGATTTGGCCCTTGGTTCTCTTGCGCATTTGCTCGTCAAGGAAGATGTTGCGCATGGTGGCTTGCATCTGTTGTACGTCGAATGATGGGTCGCGGAAAACCATCATCTTGATGTCCTTGTAGTCCTCGGAGAAACCTTGCACACAGATGTCCTTGAAGCGGCGATCGGAGATGGTTTCCCCCATTTTCTCTAGTTGAGAGCGGAGGCGGTGTTTCTTGTTGAAAAAATCGTCCGGGTTCTCTCCTGGCTCCATGACCGTCCTTTCCAGGTCGTCCAGTTTAGCCCTGATCACTTCATCTGTCACTCGATTGTAGTTGGCCTTCAGTTCCGCGAATGCTGCCTGCCCGTCGCCGCTAAGGCCGGTGTCGTCTTCGTGCTTGTGTACGGTTAGTGCAGCCGGCAGTTCGACGAGGCAGAATAGGATTGCGTAGAGGTCTTCGTTTGCTCTCTCGTATGCGGCGAAGGTGGTGTCCGAGGGATCAGGCCTGCGCATTCCCTTGAGAAGTGGCATGATGTCCCTCCGAGTAACACCGACGACTACACCCAATTTCTTCATCCAGTCGTTGAAGTCCTCTGGTTTCGTTCCATCGAACTTGGGGAGTCCTCTGATGACGTTGGCCAGGTTTGTGGATCCATCACTCCAGATACTGCCTCCGCCTCCAGTTTCCGATGTTGCTTCCATTTCTGGTTTTATCCTGATGATCTCGCCTTGAATATTTTGGTGGTGTATTACTCAGCTATCTGTCGCTGAGATTTTTCCAGCCCCGCTCCTTCTATTGATATAGAGGACTCCGGTTGCCGATTCGTGACCCCGCTTCTGAAACCCTTTTCTCACCTAGATAGAGAATCGGTGAATAGAACTCCGGTTGTAGGCCAATTTGCGACCCCGCTCCTGATACCCTTTCCTCACTCAGGGAATCGGTGAATAGGACTACGGTTCCCGGTCGACTTTCGCTGTTGATACAGTCTTCCCTCCTGTCTCCGCCGCAGAAGTATTTGCTCGATGTCTAAATCGAGGCTTCCCGCGCAACACTTTGCTGTTTGTTCACCACAGAGGTACCCACTACTGCTGTTGCAGCAGTGATAACGTGTGTGTATAATGAACTCTCAGCCCCTTGGTGTAGATGACCAAGTAGTGCGCTCACTTTCGTTTCCGCTGACCGTTGATGATCTCCCAAATCTCCGAATCCAGATTTCCGCTCGAAGTCCACAGACGGATGTTGTAGTCCACAGCAGTAGTAGGATGTCTTGACCTCCGTCGTGACGTCCGCAGCTCCTAGTGTTCGCGTAAAGCGAGGCTCATAACCTCACAGAATGTGGCGTCTTGCAGCAGCGGAGGTGGCGGTGCCGCTGTAGCTCGTAGACTTTGTAGTCTACCACAGAGGTTACACTGCTGTCACCGCTCTATCACAGAGGTTGGTCTACACTGCTGTGAAATCGGTAGGCCCGAGCGAGCTTTGGAAAGAGAAATGCAGATAGATGTTCTTATCAACTGACTCCCTGGTCAGGCTTTGATGGGTGCTAGATGAGAGTGAGCACAAGGGGCGAAGGCGCGCTTGTGTCTCATCTCAACAACAAAACAAAAACAAAAAACAAGCAGCAAAAACACAGCAGGTTCCGAGGGTCTCCGGAGTAATGGCCCGAGTACCGGAATTTCGGGGTTCGGAACAATAAAACAACTACAGTCTCGCCTGCCAACATATCTCCTCTACAACTTTGTGCTCATGTTCTCTGCTGAGTACCATCTCTTCTTTCTGTATTATGTCTACGGAAGGCTGCTAGTTGCCGCAGTCGCACCTATGGTAAACTGTGCCTGACTACGTTGTAACAGTTTTCCTCGACCCAGCAATGTCTGTTCAAACCAAACGCAACTCGTCTACATTTAGACCAAAAAAACATGGAAGCATCAGCCTGCGTTACGAGGCTCCGATGAGATGCCGCCAAGCATTCGTTCCCTTCTTGCAGCTACAAAATATGTGCTACGTGTACCAGAAAGTGCATTGTGAAACGTCCGCCACATACCACACGCACGTACTCAAGGCGAGCAACAAGAAATAGGAGTTCAAACGGAAAGCAAAGTGAACAGAGAAACCCGAGTCTCTAACTAACTGCGCCTCGATCATTCGTGGGAAAGACAGGGCGAGGTGAGAGCAGAAGTGAAAAGTATCTTCAACGCGCAAGGGATAACCGCAATGCTCGGCAGAAAAATAATTAACAAAACACAAAAGTACGTGTAAAAACTATTCGTGCTGGGGCAATCCAACAATTAGCCCCGCAGTGACAGCTGGCGGTGACGGGGACATACATACTCTTCGGGAAGGAGTAACGACGGAAGATGGTGTGAAAAATACACCAGCAAAAAATCCTAACATATAGCTTCCAAAGCTACATATATATTCTACTTGCTATGTCGGCCAAGAATAATACTAGCCTGACGATGCGCTGACGTATAGCACAAATGAAACGAATACACTTGATGTCCGTAATATCTCCCCATCTTGAAGAAACCACCAATCATCCCCGCCACTGCCCCATCGTGCAGAAAAATAAACTATTATTATTTTGTTTGCCCTCCGACAATTCCAGATAAATGCAGACATACATAAAAAGTCGATCGTAAAGGGCGTCATGCCAAGCGAAATTAACTCGATGCCCAATAGCTAGGAATGTTTGCCTCTAAGTCAGCAAAACTTTTGTTGAGACACTACAGCTGAACTCGAGGCACGAACATTAGATGGAGAAAAACGAACAAAACCCCAACCTCATCCACCCAAAATCAAACAAAACATTGTTCGACCGCCAGATGGCTGACAAAATACTTCATACGATATCGTGAGGACCTAAAATTGCACTACCAGCCAAGGACAATTGCCGCAATACACCTGCACTCCCGCCCGTCCCCAAGCAGGGTGGTATTGAGCCGACCACAACAATTGATCGTGCTGGGTGAGCAGGGGGGGAAATTGAAGGTACACGCCAAAGGATCGACAAGAGGGATAACAAACAAAGCGGTTGCCGATTGGGATTATCTTGAACATGCTGACAACTTCGGAACACGTACACAAGCATATTCACCACGGTGGGTCTCAAGACCAACGTGGAGAGGAATGAAGGAGAATGAGCAATGCTTGTTCGATATCATGAGGCAATGCCGAACCTGACACGAAACGTGTGAAAGGATATTGAAGACATCGCTGAAAACGAACCTTACGATTACTCTGAAAAACGGCGATATGATGCGCTTATCCCAAAGTGGCGCCATGTAGATAGTCGCCGAGGCTCGGTTGCACCACGCAAACAGGAGCGGAGGGTGAGGCGGCCGAACACGTGAACGGCCCGGATCCAATGCGCTTTTCGTTTGACATTGCGATTTTCATTCGATTCAGAACAGTTGCACCGGTGAAGGATTGGCGAAGCACTTTACGTCGCCCTCATACCTGCGGGCGCGAACGAAACAGTATAGCCGTAGAGGCGAGGGAAGGGTGCGACAGGAGGGAGGATTGAACTTCGTCGGCTGTCTTAGCAGACTCCTGGCTCAATATTCTCTCACATGTGTGACACGAAGAAAATGAATGACAGAAATGTGGAGTGTTTACTGTGAGTGCCAAAAAACCAGGTACATGCAGACCTTCCTAAAGTTTTATAGGGTTTATTATTATGGTATTTCTCTCTATCCACCCATCTATATACAAATATCCGTCTATCGATCTCTCGCCCACTTCCTACCACTTATGAGCCGGGCTCTTGGCGTTGAACTCAAGGTATCCATGAACGGCGCTCTGCACCGTCCGAATGCGCCGCACGTCCACCTCCAGACTGTCGTGGTACTCCGCACGTTTCTGTTTTTCACCGATATGAGTGGGGGGGGCTTTTGACTTCAGCCATCACAGGTGGGAATACGGACAGGAGAAGCGGGACGATTTGGGGACGAGACGGGCGCTTGCAGACAAGCCTGACCAAAGGCGACATATTTCTAGCGTTTTGTCGCCGGGAGGGGGGTCGGCCCACACGGCGCGCACCCATTTGACAATTTCGCTCCTTTCTGCTCCTCGATCCCGGTGGCGTTGGAATGGCTCAGCACACTGGGAATAAGAAGTGCTCTTTTGCGACGGGACTCAAGGTCGATAGGTCCCGAGAGCTGCCCATCACATTCGAATCCAACCTACCTAGTGAATTGCCGATCTAGCTCTTTCTCCGCCGGAGTATCATATAGTAGTACGGCCTCGAGAGTAAGAATGGATTGCTTCACCAAAATTCTAGCCCCGTCGGCGTGCTTCCTCTTCCAGTCTACAACCTCGCTTTCATGTTGACGCAAAAGACAACACGGGATATTGTATTGGGGTCGTACTTCAGCACCGAACCTTGACCCCCAGGGGTCGAGATACGTCTGAAACAGTTGTTGTTGTTGTTTTCTCACACTATTAGCTCTATAGTCCACAAAAAATGGGGAGCCCGTGGTCTCAACGTCTGAAACAGTGTAGCCACCCGTGTTGCACGCACGATGTTCGTGTCACTGACCTGTAGGTAGACTTTGACGGCGGCTTTGTAGAGAGCTTGGTCCAATTGCGTCTGTCGCTTTATCTGAGCCAGCACCTGCTCAGTGTGTGCGTGTGTTGAGGAGGGGCTACACCGAAATGACTGACAGTTTCGCGTACCGAACAACAACATACCTCAAAGCCAACTCCGGGGGTACTGTCTGCGCAACTAAGCTTCCTGCTGACCCATCAAATTTCTTGGGTTTCTTGGGGAGGCCTCGTGTTTTTTCGCCTTTGCGGTTGGTTGGGTTTCGGCTTAGGGAATACGGTACCAGGAGGCAAGGTCGCACGATGCTTTTCGCCCGAAGAAGCTGCTGGCTTCACTATGCCTCCGCGCAAGGACGCACAAACGACCGAATAAAGAGGAAAGCGGCCAACGGGCGTACCTAGGCAGGCCATAAACAACCATTGTTTATGTAGACTATTCCAAGGAACAGATCTGTGCCAATACAATTAGGAACTACCGTTTTATATATGAGAGTCGGACGGCCGGGGGAAAGGCTTAACCCCCTCCTCTGTTGTTGCTGGGAATGGCCATTGAATGTTCGTTCTGCGTTCATCCATGTCAAGTTGGACGGCCAAAACCCGCGCACTTCCGTCTGAACGTCTTTTTGGGGGTACAGTACGTGTGACAAGGTGGAACTCCGCCAATGCCCCCCCGCAAAAACGGTTGAAATCGAAACGAACCAACGAACGCGGCCGGCCGTCGTCTCACCTCTGGTGGGAGATCGCGAGTCTTGGGCACATTGGTGAGCTTTTTCCCATCGTACCGAGAAACCCCCTCCTTGGTCTCGATCACCCTGAACGACCGTCAGGAGCGGTGCACGGCCACGACAATGAACGGGCAACAACAAGCAGTGTAACAGCATCTTCGTTTGCGTTATTCCTCGCGGGATAGCACACAACCGCGTACCGATTAGTCCCTACTTGGGCCGCTGGATTCACCCTTGCGAGACGGAGAGGAGGTACTCTATTGTCGTTTCACCGCCGTCAACGTCAGTCGAGGGGGGGCGGGCTGTTCTCGATCGACACGGACGGTGCTTGGATACAGCAGTACAGGGCTCGCAGTTGAGAAACCTTCGTTGAGAAACAGAGGCTCAAAAACTCACAAAAAATAAGAAAATAGGTCAAAGAAAGCGGTGGGTCCTGCACTGAACTCTTTAAAACAACCTGTTCTCGACCGTGGCGATGAAATATCTAGCTGAGCCTCTACCCTATATTAGCATTTCTTATGTGCGGGGCCCTGCTGAAGTAGTAAGTATACCTGCAGAAGGTCATGTCGATCGGCCTCCAGTTGAACATGCGCATGAAAACGGCCAGCCCTTCCTCGAAGTGCTCGGTGAGCAACACCTGTTGCAACGAGCGGCGGCGACCAATCAGCAGAATCGTCGATTCACGAGGAACACGGATCGGGGCCAACCACGTGCGGGGGAACGAGAGCGTCAGAAATCCGCATTCTTGTCTCCTCCTAGAAGCGAGTCGACCCGCGCGCGGTTCACGCAACTTGCAGAGAGTCTTCCCACACACCGCACCCGTCCTCCTCCGACCATGCCTGCACCTGGTGCAGCACACTACCATGACCTGACGAGAGGGGGCTTCGGCCACATCTATCATACTACTATTGAAAGAAGCAGACGCAACCGCGGCCAGAGATACAGCAGGGAAAAGACACGCCATGAGAAAATTCCCCAACGTATGACGTAGCTTGACCCCGCGGGGGCTGAATCGAAGTCAGCACCCGCGTTGACACTCGGCAAGAGATCGAAGAAAGTCGTGAACCTCACCATGGCAAAGCCCTGGAGGTCGTCTTGTATGAAGCTCTCTAGCTCGGTCGCTGTCCTGATGCCGAACTCGGCGCAGAGCGGGTTGTGCAGCAGCTTGAAGCCGTGCCACCCGGCCTTCCCGGCCCGCCGCCGCGGGAACACTCCGCGGTACCGGGGGTCACCGGGCTTCGCCGACAGCTCGAAGTATTCCGCGATTGAAAGCTTTTTTCACGTGGGGTATGCATACGATGAGCGGCCAAATGGTCGGTGGAAAAAGGAGGAGTGCGTT